CCTAAACCCCAAACCTTAGATCCCAAACCCTAGACCCTGGTAAGGGCCTTACAGCTAAAGCGGCCAACAGGTGCGCCTCAAGGCGAAGCCCGCGCGCGAGGAGGTCACGGCAAAGTCGGTGCAGGCCTCCGGTTTTGAAGGGAAATTTCGGGGTCTAAACTCCTTTTAGAGGGGATTAAAAAGGGGACTACTATAGGGATTAGGGTTTAGGGATTATGGTTCAGGGTTTGGGGTTTAGGGTTTAAGGGTTTAGGACATGTCGGGGTTTTGGGTACGAATATGAGCTATAGTCTCAGCTCCTTAAAGGGGAGATATATAGGGGATCATATAGGGGAGTACTATAGGGGATATTCAGGGGGATACTAGGAGTTTAGACAATGGCTAATATGCTGGGGTTTAGGGGTTTAGGATTTTAGGGTTTAGGGTTGTAGGGGTTTAGGGGTTTAGGATTTTAGTGTTGTAGGGGTTTAGGGCTGTAGGGGTTTAGACTTTAGGCTTGTAGGGGTTTAGGGTCTAGGGACGATTAACCCCAATAATGGAGAATCAAATGGAACATGACATGGAAAATGACATGGAAACTGGGATATATAGGATAGTCATACTATTGGGGTCATATAGGAGTTATATAGGGATCATGGAAAATAAGATGGAAGCTGCCATAGTATACTGGTGTAGTATTGGAAGAATGGAAAGCTGGAAACTAATATTTAGGGTTTAGGGTTGTAGGGCTTAGGGTTGAGGGTTTGGAGTTTAGGGCTTGGGGTTTGGGGTTTATGGTTGTAGGGCTTTGGGGCTTAGGGTTTGGGGTTTAGGGTTTAGGGGTTTAGGATTTAGGAGAATCTGGGTGAAATTTGGGCCTGCAGGATTAAGGGTTACAATGTCGTGTTTTTTTTGAGTGGATTTGTTTTTTGGGGTTCAAAGGGCTTGGAGTTTTTGTGACTTTTAGGGGTTCTCGTGTACTTAGGGTTTTAGGGTTTAGGACTTGTACAAACATTATGCGATTCAGGTTCGACATGTTGACCGTTTTTTGCGCGAGGCTCCGTTTTAAACCCTAAACCCTAAACTATTCCCTGTACAGCTGGCTTTTGCCTGAAATCCTAAGCCCGAAACTCTGACCCGAAACCCTAAAAAGGGTTAAGGAACTAGGGTTTAGGGCTTTGGGGGTTGCTTTAGAAGGGCCGACAGGGATGTCTAGGTATACGTAGTGGTGGCTGGGGATATATGTGGGGTATATAGGGGGAATGGGGAACTACAGCGGTATATATATATATACACACATACAAATACATACATACTTAGATACATTTATACATAAAGATACATAGGGATATCTGGGGATTAGGATTTAGGATCTAGGTTGGGAGACTCAGATGGAAATGAGCTAGATCCCGGGGCTTACTGGATCCGTTTAGGAGTTGTGGAGCTTCGCTGTTTCGGAGTTTTGGGGTGGTCGTTGTGATTGGGGTGGTTAGGGTGAAGGGTAGTTGTGTGAGAGTCTAGGGTTTTGTCAGTGTCTACACTTTGCAAGCATGACACGCCACCCCCCCCCACCCCCCCAACCC